ATCATCGATAAGAATGGAGACTATTTCATTTAATAAATGTTTTGTTTTGATATACAAGTTGTTCGGATTTTTTTCATCTAAAAAAAGCGATATTAATTTGTTGACAACCTAATACTTTGTACATAACAGAGGAAACAGTGTGTCACTTACTGCAGATTATGAAATGCAAGTAAAGCAGTATAATGTCTTTCCAGTACATTTCTAGTTAAGTGCCTAAATATATTATACAATATTACTGAACAACACCTTATAGATTTTTCTGCTTTACTTGAAATAGTTGAGGAAAAAGAAACTAAAATTTTTTCTATTATTATCATAACAGCAACAACACTTTTATTAAAGGATTCTTAATCTTTTTGTCTTTTCCACAGAAGATTGAGTGTTCTAGTTTGGTTTAAAAAAATATTTATTCATTTTCACTTACTCTCTTGTTTTGATGTATTTCTCCTTAATAGGCTTGCAAGGGATATCAATACGACCATACTTTTGATCAGTTACTTTTATTGTTACACCACCATCAATATCTCCAAAGATCCTCCCTAGATTGATGCCATGAACAGTGATCTCTGTTCCTCCTTCCAGGGGGCCAGATGTAGGGGAGAACTAAAAACAAAAAGGTAAATTGTTTAGTCCTCTTCAAAAATTTCTGGAAAAAGTTAACATCTCACATAATGTAATCACATCTTCTTGAGCATCTACAACTTAAGTATTCAAAAAGACAGGGATATATATGACACACACACACACACACACTAATGGCATTACAAGCCAATCAGAGAAAGGTAAACTCAACAGATACTCAGAATTATATGGTAGCAACTCTCAGTTGTCCAGTTAAAAATAAGACATTACTTTTGGTAGTTATATCAGAACTTACAGAAGACATACACACATATACTCTTGCTAAGTCCTCTGAGTATTATCTTCTCTGAAACATATCATAATCATGGATTGAAGATGATCAATTTGAAACACACACAATTAAACAAATGACTGGAGGACCATAAACAGGTGTCAAATATCCAAATGATATAGAAAAAGAAAAAGGGGTTTTGATGTTCTAATTTCAGTTTCTTCAGCCATCCCCGCAATACACTGTTGCTAGTGTTAAAGAAAATAGGATTTTACAAATATTGAATAAAAGTCTAAACGGGTTATAATTTCATTGTATAGGTCATTGGGTAGGCCATATTTGAAGTATTATGTCCAGTCTTTGGTGCCTTACCTTTGGAAGGACACTGAATTATTGAAAATGGTTTAAAGTAGGGCTACTAGGATGGTACCTGGGATGGAAAAGTTATACAAGGACAAGTTAAGAACTTTGATTTTCCCTCTTGAAAAAAATGGGTAATAAGGGATTTAAGTGAGGTGTTTAATGGTGAAAATGGTAGAACTAGGGGACACATAAATTTTAGCTAAAACAATTTTATTTCTCTAATAGGGTGGTTGACCTTTGGAATGGGTTTCCTTTAGATGTGTTGGATGCAGTTTAATTTAAAGGAGTTTAAGGGAAGGTTTGATGAATATTTAATAATAAGGGCTGGTTTCTGAGTGTTTTATTTTTATTATAAAGTTTAGTTTAGTGGACTGGACTGGACATCCTAGATAGTACAACAGGTCCCTTGTTGTTCTTAAATTATAAGTATTTATATGTACATTTTGTTTTCAAGATAAAATACACCAGGTTATGTGTAAAGTTCAAAATCAAGACACTGAAAAGACTAATGTTAAATGTATTATAGGAAAAAAAGTATTGCTGTGAATATGAACTATTAGGATTGAGTGTAATCTAGGCTAAACACATGAAGTGCATCTTGTTTTGTCTGATGTCATAACTGTTTCTTAAAGTCATTCAAAATTACCTGTGAACTTATCAGTTACTTATTCTAACAAAATAGCAGCAGCATTCACCACATAAAGCAGTAATAGTACAAGTACCAGATGGTACAACATCTAACAATATTCCACTCTTACCTAATTCTATTGTTACTGATTTTAGGCACCAGTGAATAGTTGTCTTTGAAAATTTATTCATCAATTAAATGAACTTTATATATATATACTCTTAAACTCATATTAAAATACCATACCTCTTTCAACTCAGAATGTGTAAAAATATAATTTTGTTTGTTAGCTGTAATTTTGAGCTCTTTCCTTTCATCAACTCATTAAGCAATTGTTTTTTGAAAATCAGATAACATTAGACGAAAGTTAATAAAAAGTAATTTGATATCTACCTATCTAGCAAGAAGTCTCTCAAAATAAAGGAAAAACTCAACATAAAATACAACTTTTAAGTTAGGAGAAATGTTTCCAAGGTTATTAAAAACATATTTAGACTTGAATGAATACAACCTGATGGAAAAGAAAGCAATAAGACAGGTGAACAATATATACGATATCATATACAAGTAATACAATAAAATTAAATTTAAGTATTGAAAAAAGTACACCAAACCCACTGAATGTTGAAAACTTGAAATGCTAAAGGTTAGTCAAATAACAAAAAATACAGAACAGCATCTGCATAAGTATGATTGAAAGTTAACAAAAATGAAGAAATAACTATCAAGTTTCAGGAGAAAGTGTTAGCTATAAGAATCAAGTGAGTTTAAGGAAAACACAGGTTTACTGGTTGATGATTTCTGAAGTACTTTTTGGAAAAAAATCTTAGATAAAAGGTCAGTCTATCTTAAAATCAGTCCTAATTGGAATGATTTTGAAAGGAAAGGCCTGTAGAAACTTTTCAAATGTAAGAAATATTTGAGAAAAAAAACAAAAAACAACTAAAAATACATTTATGCCTAACTAGGCCAATCAACTTGTAGAACTCTTGGTGAAAAGTAAAACCACTGACTGATTTTCTTGAATGGTTTCAGATATTTCAATGTTTCAAGTTATCAATCTCTATTTTAGTTTTCTATAGACCAAGATCTGTACCAAATTAAACTCAATGTGTAAACTTATTAACTGGTTATAAATCTACTTGCATGTAAAGGAAATTCTGATTTATTCTTACCCTCTTGATTTTAGGATTGGGACAAGTCTGTTTTCTTTCTAACCACATAGTGGCATTCTGCTGACATCGATCGTAAACTTGACAGGATTTAGAAGCCTGACACCAGCCACAACTGTACTTTTCAAGTAGCTCAAGACACATCCCACAATTGTCTGCCATACCTTCACACCGATACACTAATACTGATGAATGATAACAAAGATATGTTAAAATTTCTTCATGGTTGAGAATCAATCTATATAACACCTGTTTATTCCTAAGTTATGGAAAGAGAACATCAAAACTTGAATCAAGTATGCATCATAGCAGCCATAAACCTCAGCCTTTATTTTTCAAGAAAGGAAACTGGCAGGCTCTTTCTATATGACAATCACCCTTAAATGTTTAGAATTCATGCTGTCATATGCTGGGATGAATCAAAAATTAAAGATTTTCCATATGAAGAAAAGTTTAAGGGTGGAACAAGATGATACATAATTCTGTGGGTTTTCTAAAAAAGTGAAAGATCAGGACCCACATCTATGCATACTGAGAAGGTGCTCTAACCACTGCAAGATATTAGATTTTGGTTGATACAAGCCTCTTGTCTTCATTCAATTACTTTGTTTTTTAAAGGAATGTAAAGAATCAAAGATGTGAAAAACAATAGATACTATTAATACACATAGTTCTTGCTGGTTTTAATTATTTAAGTGAATTTTAAGTTTAGCCAATAAAACACAAACTTAACAAATGGATGTTCTTATCTAAATTACCAATAAAACATTTTCAACAATCATCCAGAAAAATTATATAATGGGCAAAAACAATAACTAGTTTCAAGTCCCAATTCTGAAACAATAATAATGAAAATTATAACCATAATTCTTTCTGGTTTAGAAATTCACGTTATTTACATTGCATATTACCATCCCCAAAAAATTCAGACAGAAAAGAGGCGAGTTAAAAGAGATGGTCAGAAAATTTGGTCATTCTCACTGACCTTACCCTTGCTCACTTTATAATTGTTATTAGATTTTCTGAAACTATAGGTCTACTGCCATAAACCAGTAACCATTTTTGCACTAAATTATGCATTGTAACAGATGTTTGTACATTTTCTTAGGAGATTATGTGCTGCAATATCCAATACTCTTGTGAGGATAGATGTAAAACAAAACTTACATGGTGATATTAACACTGAGCAGTTCTATAGTAGTGTCCCTGGTATCATTTACAGAAATGCACTCCTTATGATTCCTCATAGCAAAACATTAGCCATAGTTACACATTCAACTTCTACTTTTTTAAATACCCATACTGTCTTTATCACTACACCTTGCACATGTTTAATACTGATTTATTATCACTGTCAACGTTTCTTTAACTTCATTACAAAAATGTTATACTCTATGTACTAGTTCACAACAATTCACTGTTGATAGTAGCTTTGAAAGTTTTTGCCTTACAAATCTGAACCAAACAAAATTTGTCCTCCAGGCTCTAGTAATTTTTGAAGAAGCCATACTTACCTGGACAAAGTGATCAAGGCATGAATCTTAGGCAACATCTTTATGGTAAGAATTGAAAAGATTGAGCTTTATGAACTTCTCACTAAATGGGCCATAATACTTAGTCACAAGTCCCCAAGAATGGAATTCATCCCATGTTTTCAATGACTTTGAGAAGTACATGACACTTAAGTAACCAAATTCTCAAATACTTGAAGAAAAGTAATTTTTGATGCCTTTGAGAAGCATAAGGAACTTCCACACAACCTAATTCACAAGGACAAAAATATTCTGAGCCCTAAACATGCAAGTTGCTTTCTCAACAAAGAGAATGCAAATGGAGCATTCCACCTCAAAGAAACAGAGCAATCTATATCCAAATAATGTACAGAAAAACATTTTGCATTAAAAATTAACCTGGGGTGCCACTGACATTATTTAATAACAGTGGTTGTACCTTGTCATGCACAGAAAACTCTTGTGATTCATTAATTACTTTGTGCACCATAAGTAGGTTTTAGATCTGAGATAAACAAAATTAAAAACTAACCAATCATTGTTTTTTTTTGTTTTTAAATTAAAGCAGAAGACTTGTTTTAACCTTACACCTAACAACTCTCTAACAGCCAGAAAATACCTTTGTTCCCAATTACTACAACTAGCTTTGAAGTTTTATTGTTTTTACTAGCTTTCTGTTATGAGATTAAAATGATTTTGCACTTTTGTTGTTACATGCACAATATACACCATAAGGAAGAATTGCTTAGTATAATTTGTATTTATATAATCATACAAAAAAATAACACAACTTTACCAACATATCAGTTGGGCCTAAGCCTAATGAAGCTAAAATAATTTAATGTTTTAACATGGCAAAACCCAAAAATATCAAAAATGTGATACATATATATTAACATTATATCTTCATGCATTTTTGGCATCATTAGTAGTACTATGAACAATACATTTTCATGCCCACTTCTTCACAGCAGTGTGACACCAAAGCATTGTTGAACCAATACATCACTTAATATAAGTATATCTGATAATTAGAAACTGTTAGTTATAATACCATGAATATTTTCAGGATTATCTAAAGGTTTGGTTCCCTCCCAGATTACAGCAAATGTGGCTGTGATGTTTGGAGCAGGAGTTCCATACGTGAACTGGAAAATAAAAAAAAATAACACCTTAAAAAATGAGCAACTAATATCTTGAGAAACATAGTAGTTATTGAAAAAAAAAGTCTGATCCAAAATTTTTCTAACTTCACAAAGTTAAATTACTATGACAAAGAATCAATTCATTATAGCATCATATTTGAGGTTCCACTGCTAGCTCAACACCTTTGTCACTCATGAAAATCTCAAACAGATTACACTTGAAGTTAAAGACATCAAGCTGTCCTTCCTGAAAACCAAATACACACAATTATGGGATAGTACAATGTTATGTTAATCCTTTCTAGACTGGTCCTAATACAAACGACTGAACACTGCAGGGGTTTCAGTACCACTTTTGTCATCTAGATATTAGATAAATAACACATCAAATGATTATTCTATCAGTCTGCAACATACTGATTGTAAAGAGTTACTTAGTAGGTATTTCACAATACAGAAGTTTTTCAGCAAGAGGATAAAGAGTGACAAGGCAAGATTGGAACAAGTTTTATAGTGAGCAGATAACAGAAGAATGAACTAATAGTGACAATGCAAGACTGAAATAAGTTAACGAGTGGATACTACAAGAGTGAATTACTAGTGATATGGCAAGACAGGAGTAACTTAGTAAGTTTATATTTTTCTTGTAGCTTTCTGCAGTTCTGCACAAGACCTGTGCAGTTCACAAAGTAGAGCTGCAAAAAAAAAGCACTCTTTAACCACCAGAAGTTTCTATTGATACACTCGTGAATGATCCAATTTTGTGTAAAAAAAATAAAATAAAAAGTTGTAATGTTATTATTTGTGTTTATTACGACTACATCTGGTGATTTAATATGCTAAATTAATACTGTGCCAGATTTCACCTTTTAAAGCAATAAAATAATTCATAATTTGTAAAATTAGTTTTTAATCACAAAATTTTACTGCTGCACTTTGTAAAACATTTAAAACTACTCCCACTGATAGATTTCTCATAGCGATTAGTCCTTAGAGAAAACACTTGTCTGTAGCACTGCAAGAAAGTGTTCTGATGTGTTTATTAGTAGGAAAGTTAACTGACACAGAAAACTGTTCACAGCCCTAAACTAAAAAAAAAGTGAATGTCTCCTCCAAACCTTTTATGTTTTACTTTATGGTTTTCAAACTTTTATGTACACATAATGAAGTATTATTAACAACTAGATCTGAAAGAGTTAGTCAACAATGAGAAAATACTTATCCATCAACAGAAAATGTAATCAGACTTACAAAAAAAACACCACACCTATTATGTTCTTATGCTTAGCAGTATGAAATAACAGAAAAGTACTAGAAGTTATTAGAACATATACTTACATTCATATACTGACAATAAATTATATCTCCTAATAGCTGGGCCTTTACTTGCCTCACTCTTCCTTCAATGTTAAACTGGCAGACAAACCTTGTAGACGGGGTGAATTGCTGAAGAATATAAACAGTTATAAATTCATTTGTGAGTCATAAAAAATATGATCATATGAACAACTGACTGAATCATTCACTGGCATATCAACAATGAAAAGTACATGATCAAGAATTCAGGAGTAACCGTGTAATACTTTACACAATTGTACGATCAAGTATCTTCATAGCAGTTTTAAAAAAATTACTGTGATATCTATCCTCTTATTTGTAAAAACAACTAATCAAGCAAAAAAAAAGAAAAAAAGAAGTTAAAACCAATAAAATTCTTAACATTCCTTATCAAGAAATGTTTCACCAATAACTAACTTACTGGTTTGCCAGTTCTCATGAATGATAGTACAGTTCAAATAAAGTAGTGTCATTATATACTACCTAAGAAACTGGTTTGTAAGTTACTTAAATAAGATTGATAATTACAGTTCACTTGTTTAATCTGATTCGCAACCTAAAATTGTTGTACATGACAACTGATAAGATATACAGAGTTTGAACCAATACTGTGTCTATAATATTCCAACCAGCCTGATGAGCCCTGGGCAAAAGGCCTTGCTGGTGCTGGATACAGAGCTGAGCATAAATTACTCATCATAATATAGATGAGTAATTAGATAATTAGATAAAGTCTACTTTTGATAGCCTTCAATCTTATTTGTTTATGGAGATATAAAACAGAAAGTCAAACCCACTTGTTACATCCTCTATTTCACAAATTGCCAATAATTCTTTCTGATGTTTTATATAATTTATAACCGGAAGAAAGAAAAAGTTTTAATCTATCATATTATGTATTATATTATGTTGTTTTCAGTACAGTGTACTGTCTATTTCGTTTTCAGTCTGAAAGTTTCTCTCTTGGTGTTCAGATCAATAAGCTTATGGAATTAATTTAAGAATTTAATGGATAGTTAGAAACCTAGTTAAAATAATAACACGCATAAAGCAAAAAAAATGTCCTATAACTATTATAATTTGTGTTCTTAGGTGCATTACTGAAGTAAATAAAAAATTATTTATTGTTCTACTACCATTAAGTAGGCTTAAATTTCATCAACAACTGGCAGCAGAAAAACAAAAGGCTATAGGTAGGTACTTGTTTTTCCTATATATTTTTTATTTATTGTTAGAAAAGTAAATAAAATTTAAAAATTAGAAACTTACTAGGTTTGATAAGGTTAGATTAGTTAACATAAAAATTATAAAAATTCTTCAAGAGATATGTTCGTGAGTAGCTCGTGCATTATGTCATTTAATACAGTAACATGAAATGCCAGGATTATTATTTAGATGTGGTTCAAAGGGCAATAAAATAATAAAGTATAAACAGGTACCCTTTAATGTGCATGACAAGGTTTTAGTGTCTTACATTCAAACATTTATTAAACTACTTTTTGTTTATGTTTTACCAATTAGAATAGCATAAAATCTTAGCAAATAATCCATATTTTAATAGTATACAAGTTTTAAGTTCTTAATTCTACAAGGAAATATATTTTTTAAATCCTGAATTTCCACTAGTGTGCCCCAAGTGACACATTGTCTTAGCATGTCATCATCCCTATTTTATCCAGCACCCCTCGAAAATGTAAAATACTCCCTATAAAATCGTTATTGCTGAAACAAATCAATATTTATAGCCTTCAATTTTGTTTGGTTACAGAGCTATCGAATAGAAAATCAGACCCCTCCTGCCACATCCTCTCTTTCACAATTCGTTGATAGTTCTCCCTTACGTTTCATTATATATTACCTATAACCAATAGAAAGTCAAGGTTTTCATCTATCAAATGACGTATTGTATAACATTGTATTCTGAATAGAATATCATCAGTTTTCACTCTCAGTGCAAGATTCATTTCCGTGGGAAAGTTAACGACTAGCTTGGATGAATTTGTAACAGCTCGTCTCATAGTTAGAAAGCCAGGAAAATTTTGAGAGGTAGGTGAATTTGTCTACTTTTTGCATGTTATTAGTCTATATTCTTTGGTGCATTATTTAATCAAAGAAAAGTGCATTACTATAATTACTATAAAAAAAAAATCAGGCTTAACTGTCCTTGACAATCGAAGGCAAGAAAAAGAAGATTTGGGTAAGTATTTGTTTTTCATATTTATTCTTGATTATTATTATTATTAGTACCTAAAATCTAAAAATAAGGACTAGATTGGGTAAAATAAGTAATAATAATAATACAATTAAAATGGTTCATGAGGCATGCACGTGAGCAGCTCATGGGTAATGTAATTCCATAATGTAACGTATGCTGCACATTTCCCCAACTGATTTACAACTTATAATTGAGAGAATAGTAGTTAGACACAGTTCAAAGGGTAATAAAACAATAAAACTTAATTATAAATAGATGTATAATGTTATGAACTTAGAGCTACTTAGGATAAATGATTGTAGTTTCATGTTACAATTTGAAGTCATTCTAGAAAGAAAAGAAGGTTAATTTAGGTTTATTTCGATTTTTTGGGGTGGTTACGAGGTCGGTCGAATTGACCGATCCCGTTTTGAGATAGGGTAGAGAAAATAACAGATAAACTATAAAGTTTTACTCAAAAATAAACGTTTGAAATGCATTTAGGAGGTTTTATGGTTAACACAAAGGACATTTGAGATTTTTGAGTTAAAGAAAAGTATTTTTAATTTTAACATAAAAATTACTTTGCACACAGACTATTCAAAACAAATACTCAATATATTCATGGACAAATCTTAATTTTATTAAAAATACTTCACTAAGAACTATGAACTCTTGTATGTGAAAGACTTGTAATATTGACTGAAAGACTGCCAACTTTTGTGAATGATGACGATAAGAATAAAACAGATAAAAACTTTTTTTATCATACTTTTATTTAAGGTTATATAATAAGATAGAATATGAAATTTGTCTTTTCTGCAATACAATTACAAAGGAACACACACACTAAGTTCTTTGTAAAGAAAGAAAATCTTAATACGTTTGTTGTTTCTGTGCTAAACAAACATCACTTTATTATTTTTTAAGGAAAAGCACCAATAACAAACAATTACATAAATGTGTCTTATTTTTGTATTTCCATGTTTCAACAGAAAACTTTCTTTACCTGAATATTTTCTACTCTAGCATGAATTTTCTTGCTGATTCCCATGGGCACAAGTATCTCTGTGGATCCTCCAGATGTAGTGTTGATCCGTGGACAGAAACCTGGACCAGAGCGGATGCTTGGTCCAATACTCTAAAAGAATATGACAAGTGAGTGTGATAGCTAAACTAATAATTTACTTATAGTATAATTATTAGTTACGTGAAAGGAATGAAAGAAAAATTACCTCAAACAGTAAATATCAGGTAAAACAAAAACATTTAATGCCCACCATATCCTCATATCATTAGAAACAAATTTACGACACTATCCAAAATTTAGATTTCTGACATGAAGCAAAATCTCTGGTTGTTATAAGATGGAATTAAAAGTTTTTAAATGAAGTTGCATATTTCTTGGTACTTACTGCCAATCCAGTCACAAGTATGTCATTACGGCAATTTTCACCAGTATCGTGGGTACACCTGTGACCATCAACACACCAATCACAAGGAAAGCGACTGGAAACACACTGAGTGCACCTAAATAAATTCGAAAAAATATTCTTATGTTAAATGTTTTTTAATGATTCAGCATATCTATTACCATTTTCTTGTAGAACCAATATAAAACACCGTATATGAACTTGTACTCCTATAAAGGCCACATAATGTGTATTGTGTTTATAATGTCCTTTACTCACCACATATAGCCTTGAATTCACCACCAAATTTAACAGATCTGAGATACTGAGTTATTCAACAAATGACCCAGTCCACAAATTTCAATACAAAAACAATACAGTCCACTATCCTAGAGAATTTTTACAAGGCTAACAACTCCTCAAAATGATTCACATGTACACTATAAAACCTTCAACCAGGAATGTCGAGAGCCAGCACGGGGCCCCCTTTCTCTCTCTTTTTTAACATTTTCAAGAATTTATTAAAAAGAAAATCCTAAATTAGGACAGCAACGAGCTCATAAACCAGACAAAATCATAGCAGCAGCCGTTTTTACCTCACAGTATAAGCGTAAAAATGTTAATAAACTAACAACAAATATCTATTAAATCTATAAAGTAATAAATACATATTAATTATTACTCAAATTATTATTTCAGTTGTTCTTAACGTATCAAGTGTCTATATGTAAAGAAAAGCCAAAAACTATGGTTTTTATCATTAAATGAAGATATAGCCTAAAGATGCAGGCTTTACAGCATAACAAGGTTTCATTGGCTTGGAAAAGTATGCTTGGTTGAAACCTATCTACTTTTCTCCTATCAGCAATAATCAGAACTAGTATTATACATTTTGAATTTATAGATTAGTGGCTGATACTATATTCATATACAAAATAATAAGCATCAGTCATAAAGGGCTTCTGGGTAAAACTTTGAATGAAACAAAATTACAGATTTATAAGAAAGTTTATTACCCTTCACAGTTTAATTTTAAACTGAAGAAAATAGCCACAAACTGTACTCTTGAACCCTTACATGCAATAATACTGATAACACCAATGATACAAAAATAGATTAAAACAACTAACTTGAAATTATCACTTATGCTTTAATTTGTTTTCTTGCTTGTCTTTTCAGATGTACATAAATGCTGGAAACTCTCTAACACACAGCAAGATTCTCAGAAAATATATATATATGTTTAAATTGTTAATTTCTTTATATACATATATATAAGAATTAGATTGTTAGGAATACAAACAGGTTCAACAAATCAATTTAACACAAAAATATGTTACCCTATAACCCAAGTGCTTACAAAAAGTGGACCTTTCTTCTTTAGGGACAAACTGCAAATCCATTCCCAGTTTGCCCTTGAAGAAAAAAGGCCCATGTTTCAAAAGTACTTGGGTTAAAGGGTATCATACTTTTGTATAAAAATTAAGAAATAGCTGTAAATGTAAAACTAATAGAAATTTCTATAACTACATGAACTAAAAGCTTCTAAACAATTAAAACATGATTATATATATATTTGTGTAAACATTATGTATATCATGAGAAAATTAGTGGCAAGTATAAACTGAAAGAAGAAAAAAGCATAGGTCTATCATTCTTAGTCCTAGTCTTTGTTATAAACAGTAATGTTTGAAGTGTGTTCTCCCAATGCTATTATGAAATCAACCAACAAATTAAACAGTGCAATTCTAAAAAAGCACTTTAAAAAAGATATATATACACATTCAATATCCAATGTTTATTGCATTAGATAGTTTTACCATACAAAGCACTTTTATGTCATCACACATGGATTTAATCCTCAAATTACGAAGTTGTATGTATTACTGGTAAGGTTCCACATATTGCATCTTATTGAATAATTTTATGTTTCAGACTGTCAAAACACTCAAGCGTAAAGAATTAAAACCAAAATATTAGATGAAATCATTCATTTTCTCTCTCAAACACATAGGAAGCCCCAACAATAATTAGTGGGATTAACTGTAATATTGATGACTTTTTTTTCTTCTTCTTTTTTTTGCATGACTAAAATGTTATCATGAATCCTGTAAACAAGAAAGTCAAGAATCCACAAACAATGTTATATAAATAGTTTAGAAAAATGGGTGACCAATTTTATGGGATATGGATCCCATTAGTAATTATATAGTTAGAAATCTTACATAATAAAAAATACAAAATCAATACAAAAAATTCTGGTGTTTGTGTGAAAATTTCCTCAATCTCAGGAGAGCAAAACATTTTAAAATGTCCCATGCCCTACAAAGACTAATCATAAATTTAAATTAATTCATGAATTTTTTAATATATAATCCAAAGGTACACAGTTCAGCATTTTAGGAAACATTTCCATTCTTTTCATTGTGCTGTAAGGTCAAAGGGTAGTTTTTAGACAAGCTTATCTACATGTAAATCTGTATAAAAACAAATTTAATTCTGTCGTAACCTGTCTGATTCAATTCAGGATCCCCACATAACAGGATCACTTTCATACATTCTCTCAAAGTTAAAGATATTCCAACCAAATGTTGTAGCAAAAAAAGAAACAGAAAAATACAAACGTTACTTAAAAAAATAACAGGAAAGGCAAGACTTTGAAATATCAAGAGGGTATGCAACTTTTGCATCCTCTTATATTTCTACATATTACAAATAATTCCTCACCAAAAAAAGCCAAAGAACTACCAACCATACATACAGTGTGTCAATTTATTATTTTAACTATGGAAATATAAAATGAACAGTAAGTTAAAAAAAATCACTTACGAGGTGTAGGTACTGCAGTCATAAAAAGTAAAGTTTGTAGCTACAAAGTCAGGGCCACCTTTCATTCTTACAGACAGCTTAGCAGTAAAATGATCTGTAAGGAAAATAACATGCAAAAAATTAATTAAATTTTATATATAACACTACATAAAGAACATTGTGAGATTTCATTCTGACACATTAACCTCTTCAACAATGAGTTAACCCACTGAATGCAGGTAGGTCAAGATGCACACATCACAATCATTTAATATTACATTCAAAATTTAATTAAACTACTTCATTATCAATATATTTCAATAACCTTCACATAAAAATATAGTTTATAATTCAAATAATCATATTAAAATCCTCTCTGTATCATGTCACACTTTTCTGTTCCGAATTGGCCATTTTATATATTCTTTCCATCCTTAGTTAAGCTTCTGAATTTGAATACATATTATATACCTATAGTATACATACAGCAAAATCGTAATCTATATTTATAGCTTTAAATAATCTTATTTTACTTAGATATAAACCAGACAGATTCAAAGTTACTATTGCCAAGTCCAGCTCATCCACCTAAGGGAATTATTTTATTGGAGTTTAATAGTTATGCTTTGTGTGTGTGTGTGTGTGTGTGTGTGTGTGTGTGTGTGTGTGTGTGTGTGTGTGTGTGTGTGTGTGTGTGTG